GTCATAGAGACCAGTTGTTCCAGTCACTTGGCTATTATATATAGAGATGGATGTTAGTCTTGGTTAAATGTTGAAAATATTTCCTCTAAGTTTATTACTTTTTTACTTTATTTTAAGTATATTTTATGTCTTTTGACTTCTGGATTTTGGATCCTACTTAGAAAGAGATTTATCACACCAAAACAATAACCATATCCTCCTATATATCTATATTTCTTTCTAATTCTTTTATTTCTTTTACATTTAACTCTTTAGTCAAACTATCACAGAAGATTTTTTTTAACCCTTTTCGGTCCAACCTCGAGGCTGACTCGACAGACCAGGCACTAGGAGCAGGTCCAATATCGAGCAATAAGAACATTAAAAAGTTCAACATTCAGCCGAAACCGGTTTGGCTCAGTGAATAGAGCGTCGGCCTGTGGACTGAAAGGTCCCAGTTTCGATTCCGGGCAAGGGAACATGCCTGGATTGCAGGCTTGATCCTCTGTTGTGGGCTTGCAGGAGGCAGCCAATCCATGATTCTCTCTCATCATGGATGTTCCTATCTTTCTCTCCCTCATGAGTTATCTTTTTAAAAAATATTTTTATTGATTTCAGAGAAAGGAAAGGGGGAGAGAGATAGAGATAGAAACATCAATGATGAGAGAGAATCACTGATCAGCTGCCTCCTGCAAGCTCCCCACTGGGGATTGAGCCTGCAACCCAGGCATGCGCCCTTGACCAGAATCAAACCCAGGACCATTCAGTCTGCAGGCCGATGCTCTATCCACTGAGCCAAACCAGCTAGGGCCACAGAATGATTTGAGGTAGAGATCTACTATAAATATTTTCTAAGCTGGTGGCCAATCATCCCATCATATATTAAATCCTTTCCTTACTATTTAGAAATATTACCTTTATCAATTATTAAATTTACACACATATAAACACACACCCATGCACACATACACATACAGTACAGACACACAGGTTTCCTTCTGGAGTCTATTAATTCATTACTTATTCCTGTGCCCAAACTGTATCTAATTTTTTTAAAGTTTTTTTTTTTTAATAAAACCACTGTAATTATCTAGTAGGACAAGTTTTCCTCCCTGTTCATTTTCAAAATTTTCTTAGCTACTCTTACATGTTTCTATTCCAAATGAATATATTATTTTTTTAAATCAACAAAAATAACAGATCCATTAGATGGGGTAAATCTTTTACAATCAAACCATCCCCTTCTTTCAGACCTTTTCTGCTGCTACCCACTTACTTGCTATGATACTCGGCTAGTGGATTTTCATCTTCCACGATCTTCCTGCCTGCAAAGTCAATGGTGATCTTCTTAGAAAGCCGAGAGGCATGTCGAAATTCTCTCAGCTCCTCCTCTCGCTTCTGCAAAGTTTCCCGCTCAATTTTGGATAACCACTGGTTAGAATCACTGGCAAAGTAATCTGATTCATCATCAATCACTTGGGTTCTTCGAATACTAAGAAAAAGAAAAACAACAACAACACATGGCAATTAGGTCACCTACTGACAAATAGGAACTTGATTACTGGGAAACTGCTTCAAGGGAGCTCACTCTTATGCTGTCCTAACGGTTATTATCTCAAATATGGAGGTTCAAGGATGTTCTAAAACCAGGTCAAGCACTGCCTGGTTCCTAGCTTCTGCATATTAATTATCTCCATTGCAAGCTCAGCTCAGCTCAGCTTCTAAAACTAATCTCATCGTCAGCCAGGAAAAGACACAGCACCATAATCCACTGTCCTTCTAGCTTTCTTAATACAGTATAGTCCTCATCTTCTGAAATCTGGGCTTCTGCCTGGTTTTGCTGCAGCTGAGTTCATGTCTTGGCAACTTACTTATTTAATATGATAGTCCCTCTATAACTGGCACTTAGTCTATTCTTGTTAGGCCCAACTGCTACCCTTTCCCTTAGAAACTGGTGTTTTAATCTGGACTCTCAGTCCTGTGGCTTATTCTTAGGACACTTACTCTCTACTACTATATGTCAGTCCCCCTTCTCCAAATCTCCAGTCCTTCACTAATACAGAGGCCAAGTTCTGAATATGATCATCAGGCCTCTTTCTAACAAAGAAACTGAGAACTAGAAGAAATCTTGATGATCCACTCTCTCATTCCACAGATAATAAACCCAGGGCTCACAGAAGTTAAGTAATACTCTAAAATAACAAATCACCCTAGCCGGTTTGGCACTGTGGATAGAGCATCAGCCTGTGGACTGAACAGTCCTGGGTTCAATTCTGATCAAGGGCATGTACCTAGGTTGCAGGCTCCTCCCCCACCCAGGCCCTGGTTAGGGCACATGCAGGAGGCAACCAATGGATATGTTTCTTTCACATCAATATTTCTCTCTGTCTTTCCCTCTCTCTTCCACTCTCTCTAAAAATCAATGGGGAAAAAAAGGAAAAAAAAAAAGAAAAAAATAAATAAAAATAAAAATCAATGGAAAAATATCCTCAGGTGAGGATTAAAAAATAATAATAAAATGACAAATCAACTGGATTTGTGCATAATTACAAATTTGTAATATACACAGTTATAGGGAAACACTCAAATCATATTCATATAGTGATTTCAATTACTCAAGATTCAGCTGGAATTATAAAAGTTTTAAGGTAGACAGAGTGGGAAGCTTAAGAGGGCTCAGGAAAAAATTGGTTCTATATATGAACCTAAATAATGCAAGTGGTACCATTGAACAAATCTGCAAAAGGGCAACATTAATAGAGAGAGACACTTTTCCAGTTTTTTTTTTTTTTTTAAATATAGTTTACTGATTTTTTACAGAGAGGAAGGGAAAGGGACAGGGAGTTAGAAACATCGATGAGAGAGAAGCATCGACCAGCTGCCTCCTGCACACCCCCCACCGGGGATGTGCCTGCAACCAAGGCACATGCCCCTGACCGGAATCGAACCCGGGACCCCCCAGTCCCCAGGCCAATGCTCCATCCAATGAGCCAAACCAGCTAGGGCCACTTTTCCAGTTTTTACTTATCAAGAGATGTACTCCATTTCTAATTCTATTTCTAAGGTCAAGTTTTATTGAGTAGGTCTAAAAGTAATATTTAAAGGATTAAGAGTAAATATGGAGTTACAAACCTGGTAATAGGTTTAAGAAATAGTTTTCAAAGTTATATCTCATGTATTCATAGCAAACAGTTTGGTAGTAGAAGGTGTATCTAACCAAAGGATTAAAAACACACATATAGCCCTAGCCGGCTTGACTCAGTGGATAGAGCGTCGGCCTGCAGACTGAGGGCTCCCGGGTTTGATTCCGGTCAAGGGCATATGCCTGGGTTGCTGGCTTTCTCTCTCTTCCTCTCTGAAATCAATAAAAACATATTTAAAAAAAAATAAAAATACACATACACAAAGAATTGTAATGCCAGGGATAGACTACCAAGTCATTTACAGTAAATAAGAGATTTGGGGTCTAAGAACCCTCACGTGGCCATTTGAGAAGTGAGCATTTATGTCGTATTTATTTTTTTTCTTTTTACCATTAACTGATTTTCAACATATGTATTTGGTCCCAAAGAAGAAGATGAAAGAGAAAAAAATAGAAAATAGAATTAGCAAATTCTGTCTCTTAAAAAAAGTCAGCCCTAACCGGTTTGGTTCAGTTTTATATTTTAAAACTAAAAACTAAATAATGGAAGAAATAGCCTGGCTGGTGTGGCCCAGTGGTTGAGCATTTGGCTAGAGCATCGGCCTGCAGACTGAAGGGTCCCAGGTTCGATTCCGGTCAAGGGCATGTACCTTGGTTGCGGGCACATCCCCATAGGGGGTGTGCTGATCAATGTTCCTCTCTCATCAATGTTTCTAACTCTCTATCCCTCTCCCCTTCCTCTTTGTAAAAAATCAATAAAATATATTTTTAAAAAAAGAAAGAAAAGTCAGTGGGCTAAATGACAAAAACATAGGAATGTAAAAGCCAATTGAGAAACATTTTAATATATTAATCATTAAATCAGAAAACAAATTTCGTATCAATGATATGGCGTTACCTACACTCGCCCAGAGGCAACGTCTCATAGATATTCCACAGCCCAACACAACAGTTTGCACATGGTAGGCACTCTAATATATATGATGACTGAATGTCTGTAAGTGAAACAAGTGGGGAATTATTCAACCCAAAGCAACTTTCCGGATGTATACTAGCATGTGTTAAAAATAAAAAAAATGTTTCTCAGTAGGGTCCTCTTGGTGGGATATAATTTAAAAAACTTTATTCAAACATCAATTTAAAAAATACAAATAGGCCTCCTATGCAGAGCATCCAAGCTGTTCTTTCCCTGTAATCTTTTTCATACTCCACCCCTAAGAATGTATCAAGTGCCAAAATAATTTCTAACGGGCAGAATCTGAGGACTAGTCTACTTCTTACCATTTATTCTAATCATATCATACCTAGTTCTATCAAACTCTAACAGTTTGTCTTTATGCTTGATAGCCTTCTCCAGACCAGACTTAAATCGCAACTCTTGATGAGGAAGAAGGTCCTTGGTAGAGATGTCCACTTTTCCAGAATTCTCCGTCCCTAAAATTCAATAAGAACATCAAATGGTGTCAGCTTACAATACAAATTAGTTGTATCACTGTGCAACAAAAAATAAAATCAGAAGATCTGGCTTTGCCCTGATGACTGACAGCCTTCATTTCAATGGAAAACAAACAAGTACACAGGCAGTGCTTGGCACATAGCAGGTTCTCAATAGGTCCATTTCTTCCCTTATGGAAATTTGGATCACCAAGGGGTACCAAACTGTTTAACAACACAATATTAAATGCCTTAAAAATGAAAAACTGTATTAAGCAGGACTGAATATCACCATTAAACACACTTTTATATATATATATTTTTAATATATTTTATTGATTTTTTACAGAGAGGAAGGGAGAGGGATAGAGACTTAGAAACATCAATGACAGAGAAACATCAATCAGTTGCCTCCCTGCACACTCCCTACTGGGGATGTGCCCACAACCAACGTACATGCCCTTGACTGGAATCGAACCTGGGACCCTTCAGTCCGCAGGCTGACGCTCTATCCACTGAGCCAAACCGGTTAGGGCTGTAG